GAAAATAGCCATATACGGCTCAGTAAACGTGCCGCGAATTCAGGGCAGCCGTTACCGCTCGACGCGGCGCAGATCAGGCAGCGCGTTACGCGCTCGTAACGCGCCGATCAGGCAGTCCAGTTACCGCTCGTACGCAACCCGGCCCCCACCCAGGGCGCCGATGCAGGCAGCCGTTACCGCTCGTAACGTGCGGCGAGGATCAGGCAGCCGTTAACCGCTCGTACGCGCGCGGATCATGTAGCCATTACCGCTCGTAACTGCGCGATCAGGCAGCCCCGCGTTACCGCTGACGTACGCAGTAGCGCGATAAGGCAGCGTTACCGCTCGTACGTGCGCGGATCAGGCAGCCGTTACCGCTCGTACGTGCGCGGATCAGGCAGCCGTACCAGCTCGCGTGAACAACGGGATCCAAGGCAGGACCGTTACCGGGCTCGTACGTGCGCGGAACAGAGCAGCCATACGGCGCTCGTACGTGCGGCGATCAGGCAGCCATTACCGCTCGTACCGCGCGGTCAGGCAGGGCCGTTACCGCTCGTCGTGCCGGATCAGGCAGCTCGTTCACCTGCAGGCTCGTACGTGCGCGATCAGGCAGCCGACCGCTCCGTACGTGCGCGATCAGGCAGCCATTACCGCCGTACAGTGCGCGATCAGGCAGCCGTTACAGAATCGTACGTGCCGCGGATCGGCAGCTCATTACCGGGCTCGTACGTAGCGCGGATCAGGAGCCGTTACCGTGTTATGCTTTCGGTACGTGTCTGCTGGAGTTCAGGTCATGCCGTTACCGGCTTCGTACGTTGCGCTGGATCAGGGCTTAGTCCGTGTACCGCTCTAAGTATCGTGCGCGGATCAGGCAGCCGTTTACCAGTGCTTCGTACGTGCTGCTTGGATCAGGCAGTCTCGTTACCGCTCGTACATGCGCGCAGGTCAGTGCTTAGCCGTTACCGCTCGTTTGACGTGCGCGGATCAGGCAGCCGGTTACCGTCTCTGTACGTGGCGCCGGATCAGGCAGCGTTACCGCTCGTTGACGTGCGCAGGTATCAGGCAGGCCGTAAACCGCTCGTATACGGTGCGTGGATTCAGTGTTCAGTCCGTTACCGCTCGTGACGTGCGCTGGATCAGTTGCAGTCCTTACTGTCTCGTACTTTGCGGCGATCAGGCATCTTCATGTACCCGCATTCGACGTGCTGGTCGTATTCAGGTCAGCGTTTAATCGCTCTGTTACGTTGCGCTTGTGATCAGGCAGCCGGTTACTCTGCCGATGTCCTACTTGAGGATTCAGGCAGCCAGTTACCTGCTCTGTTACGTGCGCTTGTTTATTCAAAGGCAGCCGTTACTGCTGCTAGTTTACTTGCTGCTGTGATCAAATGCAGTCTCTTTTACCGCTCGTACGCCGCGCCGGATGCAGCACGAACGCATTTACCGCTCGTACGTGCGCGGATCAGGCAGCCGTTACCGCTCGTACGTGCGCGGATCAGGCAGCCATTACCGCTCGTACGTGCGCGGATCAGGCAGCTGTGTTTAGCTGCTCGTACCGTGCGCGGATCAGGCAGCCAATTACCGCTCGGTATGTCCACGGATCAGGCATGCCGTTACCTGCTCGTACGTGCCAGTTAATCAGGCAGCCGTTACAGGCTAGTACGTGCGCCGGAATCAGGCAGCCTTACGCTCGTACGCCGCGGATTTTCATGGTTGCACTCTCATTACCAGCTTCGTTTTCAGTCGCGGATCAGGCAGACCGTTACGCTCGTATCGTGCGAAAGGATCAGGGCAAGCCGTTACTGCTCGTACGCGCCGGCATCAGGTAGCCGTTACGCTCGTAGTGCGCGGATTGCAAGGCAGCCATTAACCAGCTCGTTACGTGCGCAGATCAGGGCCAGGCCGTTACCGCTCGTACGTGCGCGGATCAGGCAGCCGTTACCGCTCGTACGCCGCGGATCAGGCAGCCATTACCGCTCGTACGTGCGCGGATCAGCCATCCCCACCATCCCGTACGTGCGCTAGCGGTCGTATGTGTCATACACGACGACTGCCTTACCAGGTCGACACCGCGGCGACGTGCAGCCTGCGGCGATCCTCGCGCGTTGGCAGACGTCCGGGTAGCTCCTCGCGAAACGAAGCTCTCTAAGGAACCTCGAGGTGTGTTTTTCCAGGCGGAACGTGAATCGCTCAAGCGCTGCAACGGCACGATCTCTGCCGGATTCGGTCATCGATCACCGTCCGCTTGAAATGACCGGGATCTGAGCTGCAAGACAGAGAGAGAAGGGGGGAGGAGAATGAGACGTTAGCTAGCGGTTGCTACCCAGATTTGTGTTCATTCACAGGCTACAATGAAAGTGAGATGTACAGAGAGGCAGAGCGGGAGAAAAGCAAGACGAAGAAGAGGAGAGAGAGAAAGAGTAGAAAGAGAGAGAGAGAAGAGAGAGGGAAAGAGATACCGATGAGAGAGGGAAAGGGAGAGAGGGAGTGGGGAAGGATGGTGAGACAGTGTAAAGTGGTGAAGAGCGAAAGTACGGCCAGAGTCAGCCTTAAACCCAGTGCATTTTCGAACAGAGAATCGTTCATTCACAGCTGGAAACCATGAAAGAAGTAAGAAGCCCTCATCATACTGATTATTTAACTAATTATCATTTCGACTGCAACTAAACACTAAAAAGAAAATAGATCCATGAGAACAACTAATAAACTGAACATAAGTAATAAACAGAGAAACAGAACATGAGAAAGTAAGAAGAGGAAGCAAGAGAGGAGAGTTTAGCAGTAGAGAGAGCAGGCAGAGAGGGAGTGAAAGAATAGCGTATAGTCGAAACAGAGAGGTGGGTAATCCAGGGTTGAAAATACTTTTCTAAGCAATCCGTGATCTGCAGGATCAGCCGAGTTATAATAGTTGGTGATCCTGCAAACATTTCTGGTGTCTGATCGAAACGCCATACGTTAATAATTATTTATACATTGCAATATGTTCCTGTTTTACACAGCGTATACAGTTACAGAGGCAAGGAAAAGATGAGAAACAGCAGAAATAAAACACAGGAATTAGAATTGATTTATTTTCTTATCTCTTTCTCAGTCTGAGTCTGAGTGTTGCACACACAGTTTCTAGTAGATAATTGAATAAGTGGCATCAATCGTCATCCTACCGTATTCGGCTGGTCTCTGTTCATACATCCATCTTCAACAGTGCAGGTTTAGTGGAAAGATGAGGCCCTATACGGTTTGACAAAAGGCCTTCGTCTTCTCTTGGCTTCCCACAGGTGCCCACTGCATTAACGGATGCAAGAAGACACGCTACTGCAGAAGAGATCCAGAGAAATTCTACATCAGGTGCATTTAAGTTGGATCCTGATAGTCTGCCTTCTCCCAATCAGACTTGTATCTCCTTCATTTGAGAAGAAACTCTCTCACCACTCTACACCTAGTAGACGGCACAAGACAGCAACACAGATTTCAGGCGAAGCACAGCAAAGTTCTTTGGCTTTCTTGTGGTTTGCTGCCAGAATGTCTGCCCATGTTGCCTTTTGACGGCGCGACGTTCATCAACTGTAGCCTTTTCTGTACATAGAGTTTAATGGTGGTCCACTCTTACTACAAACGTTTCACGTTTAGTACGATGGGCCGCTCCAACAACTGTCCTTGATGGGCCAACGATATCATCCAGAGCACAATCGCCATATGTCTTCTTCAGCCTTCAGATCTAGTGCCATGATTGTGTACAAAATGAGTGAAATGTTTTTGCAAACATGTTTCCATTAATGGGAACCTGCTTCCTTTCCAGTTCACTTAAAAGTACATCCACATGCTTTGCTTTTGCAGACTTGAACACCTCTTCTTTTTTTTTTTTTTTTTTTTTTCCGGTGATCCAGTCGGATCACCGATGTTTTATTTTTCATTATCCGGTGTTTCCGCGAAGCTGAAAAAGCCGTCGGATCACCGGATCGGCGAGTTATTTTCAACGCCTGGGTAACCAATCAAGAGAGCGCCCTGTCGGGGCACAAGACACAAACATGGCTGCCAACGAGGAATTAGGAACACTCACTCATAAAAATAAAGTTTATCTCGATTAGATCCATAATAAGTTATAAACACTTACACTGACCGTCAGTGTAAGTGTTTATAACTTATTATCAAGAGCGTATAAAGAAGGAGAGCGTACAACAGTAAAATGCTGAAACCATGTTGCAGTATTAGTCAAATTAATAAACTTTCCCCATTTTATTTTGACGATTCTTTGCAGTATTATTGATCAGCTTCCCTACCTTGCTAATATAAAATCAAACCGCTTGTCCCTACGATGGCCCCTACGCTGAGATAATGAGCGGTGAAAATCTGGTATTTTCGCCGAAAACCGACTCCAGATCAGTCAGTACCAAAATAAAACGGTGAAAGTTTATTAATTCGACTAATACTGCAACATGGTTTCAGCATTTCACCGTTGTACGCTCTCCTTCTTATACACTCTTGTTATTATGGATCTAACCGAGATAAACTAAATTTTTATGTGATCTACCAGAGATCCGATGAAATTATTCAATCAACACTCACTCAGTCGCGACGGATCCTTCTTCACTGTCAGATACCACCGGTAGATGGCGCGCTTGCTGCGGTCAGACATGTCGTATGCTTCTCCCTTGAGGAAGCGGCTCACGTACGACTGGCTGATGCCTGTCATCCACGCGATCGCGTACTGCTTCAGGCTGTATCGGCCGACGAACGCACGGATCTCCTCACAGATCGTCTTTTCTCCCTTCCTGCGAAGATCGAGAAAGAGAGAGAGAGAGATGAACCAAGAGAGGAGCCATGGGTGAGAGAGAGCGAGAGAGAGAGGGAGGGAGGGAGAAAGAGAGAGAGAGAGAGAGCGAGAGAGAGAGAGAGAGAGGAGCCCTGGGTGAGAGAGAGAGAGAGACATGAACCAAGAGAGGAGCCCTGGGTGAGAGAGAGAGAGAGAGAGAGAGCGAGAGAGATAGAGAGAGAGGAGACGCCTGGGTGAGAGAGAGAAGAGAGAGATGAACGAAGGAGGAGCCCTGGGAGAGGAGAGAGAGAGAGAGAGAGAGCGAGAGCGAGAGAGAGAGAGAGAGAGAGAGAGAGAGAGAGAGAGAGAGAGAGAGAGAGAGAGAGAGCGAGAGCGAGAGAGAGAGAGAGAGAGAGAGAGAGAGAGAGAGAGAGAGAGCGAGAGCGAGAGAGAGGAAGAAGAGAGATAAGAGAGAGAGAGAGAGAGAGAGAGAGAGAGAGAGAGAGTGAAATGAACCAAGAGAGGAGCCCTGGGAGAGAGAAGAGAGAGAGAGAGAGAGAGAGAGAGAGAGAGAGATGAAACAAGAGAGGGGGTGTGGAGACTGCAGTAGAGACGGGTAATTAGCGGTAATTGCGTTCGTGCGCGCGGCCCCTGCATAATTGATGAGCGTACACGCGCGCTGCGTGTGATGCTGCGGACGCCCGTGAGAGACTCTTGCTCTTCCTTCCCCTGCCACGCAGAGATTCCCGTCCCCACGCGCTCCCAAGCTCACTGCATTTCTACACTACTAGTACTACAGGGTTTCTTCTGAGGGAAAAATAGACAAAGGAGGTAATTAATGACTAGTTTGGGAAAAAATGGATGGCACTCCAACCAATCAAATCACGGAGAAGTGTAGACCCCGCGTCACATAACTCAATTAATAAACGCACATGGCAATCTAAATACGCCAGAAGCATGTGGTGATCTATTTATTTTTTGGTTGACACTATTTTTACAACGGCGGGTAAATACAGGAACATTTTCACAAGGGCGATGTTAAATTTGACAACAAAGAGAGAGTGAGTGAGTGAGTGAGTGAGTGAGAGAAAGAAAGAGAGAGAGAGAGAGAGAGAGAGAGAGAGAGAAGAGAGAGAGAGAGAGAGAGAGAGAGAAGAGAGAGAGGAAAGAGAGAACGGAAAGAGTTAGCCCATTTCTGACCTATCCTGAAAATTTTATTAATTAATTAATTGGATCCGAATCACCACCAAAATCTTATCAATTCTAAGTTAGCCCATTTCTGACCTATCCTGAAAATTTTATTAATTAATTAATTGGATCCGAATCACCACCAAAATCTTATCAATTCTAAGTTAGCCCATTTCTGACCTATCCTGAAAATTTTATTAATTAATTAATTGGATCCGAATCACCACCAAAATCTTATCAATTCTAAGTTAGCCCATTTCTGACCTATCCTGAAAATTTTATTAATTAATTAATTGGATCCGAATCACCACCAAAATCTTATCAATTCTAAGTTAGCCCATTTCTGACCTATCCTGAAAATTTTATGACAATCCGTGCATAAGTTTTTTAGTTAGGCTGTACACAAACCAACAAACGCACTCCGATGAAAACATAACCTCCTGCCAACCCCTTGGCGGCGGTAACAATCGCTGACTATCTGCATGCTTAACTTTATTTTTATGTTTCCCGTGTGATTATAATTTTTTTAGTGCAGTCTTGGCCTGTTGGCGCGCGTAAGCAAGGAATACTCACTTACCTCTTCACATTGTTGCTGTCCTGATTAGTTGATACTATGTGATGATGCTACAGGCCAGGATCTTTCAGAGAAAGAGAAGGTTACACCACAAATGGTTGGCACCTGGTTTGCTAACAAAAGAAAGGACATCAAGAAGAGAATAGAGGGTAGATATCCACTCAACTTATTATAGTTAATAATTAATTAAATATATAATTGATAATTGAATTGAGTTATTAATTAATAATCTGTCAGAAACATGTGCATATCAGTTTTTATAATTAGTCACGATTATAGTAGGATGGTCCCTTGGTACAAGTTTTTTAATCATGTAATCTACTGGCAACTTTCCATCTTATGTACATCTTTTTTGAACAAATCTCGGCATCTCGCACAGTTATATGGGATTTCCTTACTATTTCCAGCTATATCCGACTTGCAGCCTGAATTACTAACTAAAACCCCTGAGCTGTAATCCTAAGTGTAAGGTTTGGGTATGGCCATATAAGCTGATGGTGACGACCTCTGGGCTATGTTTTGTGACCTATTCCCACCTTTCTATATATAACGTAATGCTGCGCAACCGATAATTTTTGCTTAGTTGCAGTGCTATGCTGCTCACTAGTCATTGCATCAACATTCTAATGTATATATGTCTGTTACTTTTCATATCCAGCCTGCTTTAGCTCGTATACTGGCAGAACTAGTTCATTGTAGTATAATATAGCAAGCCTATTATAACCGTTAAGCATTTTAGTGTCGAAGCTTCCGGGTGTCATAATGTCGCAATTCTTTAAAAGCTTATTACCCTCATATAATTTCACTATATTGCTTCATATAATTGCTGTGTTAATCCTTGCGTTATTTACTGTGTCATTGTTGTGTTAATCACAGCATTACTGGCTGCATTAATGACTATTATTCACTGCATTAATTGCTGTTTTTAACATTGGTCATTGCTGTATTAATCACTGCATTATTCATTGTTTAAATCATTGTTCATCACTGCATTACTCATTGTTTAAATCACAGTTAATCACTGCATTACTCATTGTTTAAATCACTGTTAATCACTGCATTACTCATTGTTTAAATCACAGTTAATCACTGCATTACTCATTGTTTAAATCACAGTTAATCACTGCATTACTCATTGTTTAAATCACGGTTAATCACTGCATTACTCATTGTTTAAATCACGGTTAATCACAGTTAATCACTGCATTACTCATTGTTTAAATCACGGTTAATCACAGTTAATCACTGCATTACTCATTGTTTAAATCACGGTTAATCACAGTTAATCACTGCATTACTCATTGTTTAAATCACGGTTAATCGCTCTGTTAATCACTGCATTACTCATTGTTTAAATCACGGTTAATCACAGTTAATCACTGCATTACTCAGTGTTTAAATCACGGTTAATCACAGTTGATTAAGATAGTAGATTAATCCGTGATTTAAACAATGAGTAATGCGGTTATTAACAGGTGATTAAGCCGCGGCCCGGCGCGCCCCCAGCGCGTGAATTTAATACAATGAAGTAATGCAGTGATTAACTGTGATAACCGTGATTTAAAACACTGAGTAATGCAGTGACTATTAACCGCGTGATTTTTAAACACCGAGTAACTGCAGTGATTAACTTGATTAGCCGTAGATTTAAAAACATGAGTAATGCAGTGATTAACAGTGATTAAGCTGTGATTTAAAACATGAGTAATGCATGATTAAAAGTGATTACAGTGATTTTAAACATAAGTAATGCAGTGATTACACCTGTGATTAACGCGTGATTTAAACACGCTGAGTAATGCAGTGAATAACTGTGATTAACCCAGTGATTTAAACACTGAGTAATGCAGTGAATAACTGTTGATTAACGTGATTCTACACACTGAGGGTAATGCAGTGATTAACTGTGATTAATCCGTGATTTAAACATGAAAGTAATGCGTGATTAACTGTGATTAACCGTGATTTAAACAAGTGAGTATTACATGCAGTGATTAACTGTGATTTAAACATTGAGTAATGCAGTGATTAACTGTGATATCAACCGTGATAAACATGAGTAATGCCAGTGATTAAACTGTGATTAACCGTGATTTAACAATGAGTAAATGCAGTGATTAAACCTGCGTGATTACCGTGATTTAAAGCAATGAAGTAATTGCAAGTGATTAACTGTGAAAAATAACTGTGATTTTAAACAATGAGTAATGGCCAAGTGATTAACAAGTGATTAACTGTGATTTAAACACTGAGTATATGGCAGTGATTAACTGTGGATTCAACCGTGATTTAAACATGAGTAATCGGGCCAGTGCATTAATAACAGTGATTAACTGTGATTTAAACAATGAGTAAATGCAGTGATTACAATGATTTAAACCAATGAGTAATACAGTGATTAACTGTGATTTAAACAATGAGTAATGCAGTGATTAATACAGTGATTAACAGTGATTTAAAGCAATGAGTCAATGAGTGATTAACAATGATTTAAACATGAGTAATGCAGTGATTAACGAATGATTTAAACAAGTGAGTAATGCAGATGATTAACAAAATGATTTAACAATGAAGTAATGGTGCAGGTGATTCACAATGATTTAAACAATGAGTAAATGGCAGTGATTAA